TTCTGGCATATTATCTGGCATTCTATCTGGCATATCTTCTGGCATATCTTCTGGCATATCTTCTGACATTCTTTCTGACATTCTTTCTAACTTTCTTCTGCACATTCTTTGTCCCATATCTTCCTACATGAGGTCCGGCAGGGAACACTTGGCGTGGATACTCGCGGTTGAGGTCCGGCAGGGAACACTGGGCGTGGATGGTCGTGGTTGAGGTCCGGCAGGGAACACTGGGCGAGGATGGTCGTGGTTGAGGTCCGGCAGGGAACATTGGGCGTGGATGGTCGTGGTTGAGGTCCGGCAGGGAACACTGGGCGTGGATGGTCGTGGTTGAGGTCCGGCAGAGAACACTGTGGATCGCGGGTCGCAGTTGAGCAAGGACGACGAGGACGACGAGGAGGAGGAGGAGAGGAGGACGAGGCAGGAGGAGGCGGAGGAGGAGAAGGAGGAGGAGGCAACTGACATAAAATCTAACAACCCTCACCTGGCAGGTGGGGAAAAAAAGTTTTTGCAGCTAAGCTCCATTGAGTTCGCAAAAACTTTCCAGCCACGATTACCAAGGAATATTCAGGAGGCATTTGCCCACCGAATCGGGCCTCTAATGAGGACGCGTTACCTGCGCGAGAGCTTTGCCGACAAAAGACTCACCACCTGCGCCAGCCAATGACACCCTCCAGTAAATTAACATAGACCCTGGTAGATAGGGGTTGGAAGATTAGTTTCCACTAAACATTGGTTATTTTTAGGGTCGAACTGTTAATTTACCAGAGGGTATGAACTAAGTGATTTTTTTTCCGCACCCAGGGCCCATGATGGAGACCAGTTTAGCTTTGATGGATCTGATGGATCTGATGGATGGCATTATGGTTAGGATCCATGTTTCAAATCCAATCTGCTTGGTGGTGACTGGACATGAATTTTATTTTTCCATATGTTGGGAATGGAAGTTCATCATCCCAACTGACTTTCATATTTTTCAGAGGAGTAGGTATACCACCAACCAGCAATTTTTCTGGGGTTATAAATGATCATGATCGGGCGCCCTTTCCGACCCAAGGTGGCCAATCTGACAGGACAATGAGTTTCTGCAAAGAAAGATCCGATCCGCACGCTGTGAGAGATCCATGGTGAACATGGGATTTACCCTCTAGTAATTTAACATAGCTATTGAAAATTGCCATAGAAATAGTTGAATTGGCCATTAAATAGCATGGTGATGTTCCATCGTTTTTTTGTATGTTTACCAGAGGGTAAACCTCCATTTTCCTATGGTTTTCCTATGGTGTTCCCATTAAAACCTCCATTTTCCTATGGTAAACCTCTTTTACTATCCCATTTGGCTGATGAACAGGGCGTCAGAAACACAACTTGGATTTATGATGTTCGATTGGTAGCTGTTTACCCACTGGGCCACTGGAGGGGGATACCAAGCATTTCCTGTGGCAGGAGCAGATGTTGTGTTTGGTAATTTGGTTAAGCTCCAGGCGGATTTTGCTATTTTTTTAAGATATCACGCTAGGATTTTTTTGTGTTACATTTTTGCCTTGATCAACGGGCAGGGTCTTTTGGAATGACTTGCAGCTGGCCCTTGTTGCATGCGTGTTTGCCAGTCTTTCGTTTGAGAACTGTCAGCTATCTCGTGGTTAGGAGCGGTTCGCGGTTCGGAGCTAATTACTTATGAAGAGTTTTTGAACAAGCGCTTTTTTTTGTCAAGTTGTTCCCTGCCATATCCCAACTGGTTGGTGGTTTGGAACATGTGTCATTTTTCCATTCAGTTGGGAATTGCATAATCCCAACTGACGAACTCAATCATTTTTCAGGGGGGTAGGTGGCTCAACCACCAACCAGCCAATAATATCCCATGATGTCCTTGTTGATGGTTAAGCCTGCAGAAAAAATCCCAGGTACATCGTTGAATTCACCAATCCGGCCACAATGTTTGATCAGCAGTTTGCATGTGCTGAGCAGGCGGAGCAACGTGAGCAACGTTCTGAGCTGCAGTCGATGTGTTTTCTGTTTCCACCGGTCCTTGATCCAGAAAATGTGAGATTACATTGCGATTTAATGGGAAGATACAGGAAATCCATTATGAATGGAGGTTTGAATGGATGCTCATGGGTGTATTAATGGATAATCTGGATTTGCTCAAGATGATGTCTGAAAAAAGTCCCAGGAAATCCACCAAACTTGGGGGATCTATAGTACAGTTGGAATTTTACTTTTTGGTGGTTCCTGAAGAAATCCAAATGGTTATAATTACAATGGCATTTATTTCTGGTTGGTGGTTTGGAACATGAATTTTTTGACTTTCCATCCAGTTGGGAAGTTCATCATCCCAACTGACGAACTCCATCATTTTTCAGAGGGCTAGGTTGAAACCACCAACCAGATTTCTACGGATTAATTATTGATTAATGTTTATAATTGATGTTCATCCATTCTTAATAGTCATACCCTCTGGTAAACTAACATAACTATGGAAAATCACCATTTTTAATGGGAAAACTCACTATTCTATTGCCATTTTCAATAGCTTTTTGTATCTTTACCAGAGGGTAACACATAAATTTTGAGCTTCGACCAACGAACCAACCGCCTGATTTCATGGCATTTCTTTGGGATTTGGCCAGTGGCAAAAGGGTGATTCTCATGGAAGATTTCATGGATCTACCTTCTGGTAAGCGTTTACATAGCTGTAGAAAGTCCCCATGTAAAAGTGAGTATTTTTTAGGGGATCTATTGGGAATATTCCTTTAGAACTGAGTTCGTCTCCAACTGGAACTGTCAATTTTAAGTGCCAGGGAATCTTGCAGAACTACATCTGGCTGCAGCCTGAGAGAACAAAGCAAGAAACGGATCCATGCCATGGTTTGGATACCCAGAAATGGCAACCCAGGGCAATGATCAACCAGTAGGTTCAGGTGGACAAGCCCATTCTTGTCGTGCTGTTCTCTCCTGTTTCACTTATCAATGGATTGGTGAGCAGGAAAATCTCAACCGGAAACCATGGTGCTATCAAATTTCTTGGGGCTTTAACATGCTTTAACTGTAGTAGATTATCCGATTTTCCCACCAATCCTTGGTGTTTCACTAAGGCTGTCATTGCTTTGCTTGGTTTTGGCTCCCACCTTTTTCTCAGCACTTCGAACGCTGCACCGGCGGCAGGACTGGATATCGGCAGGGAGGATAGAGGATGCCGATAACCAACGTGGCAATTGAACCCTAATTTAAATTATGGAGCTTTGCAATCTTAAATATATGGGATGTGATGACTGTTATGGGAATATTCATCCAATGTATGATATTTATGGGATGCTCAACCCTCCCCGATTTTCACCCATGTTCACCGATTTTTAAGGGGAAATTCATCTCTAAATCGGTGAACATCTCAATGCTGGGAAGGCTTTTGATGATATGAATGATATGGGATAAGCTGTGATAAGCTGCTAGTCACCCAATAAAGAGCAGCATCCCATATTGGTTGGTCAATGATATGACCCCAATTGGTTAATGACCCCATATAAACCCAATGAATGAGATGACCCCAATTGGTTGGTTTCCATGGGATGCTTTATATCGGCGCGCCTCAAAATTCTCGGTTCCTCTCTGGATGATCTGCGATATGGGTGACCCACAAAAATCCCAAGACTTAGATAATACTTGTTCAATGGTGACTTAATGGGATTTAATGTGTATATAATGTTAAATGATGATTAATGATGTAATTTCCGGAGAATACCCTCTGGTAAACTTACAAAAAGCTATTGAAAATGGCCATAGAAATAGTGGATTTACCCATAAATAGAATGGTTATTTTCCATGGTTATGTTAGTAACTATTAATGTCAACCCTGGATTAATAAACGATGATTTATGAGAATTAGGGGGTACTCCTCCAATAGTCATAATCTGATACTTAAATGGTACCCTCCCAATTAAACAGCCTAGAGGTTTATTAATCCAGGGTTGACATTCACTAGTATGGGAATGATTAGTTACCTCAATTGAATAAGCCATAATATCCCAGAATATACATAACTAGTGGTAAGCATCAGGTACGTCTGGAAATAGTTGATGATAGTAATCCCCGCTAAATTTAGAAATACCCCCTTAGACGCCTTGATTTCACATTGGATCTATTCATTTTAGGGGGTGCCATATGGTGGCGTAAATTTGGGGAAAAAGATTACCTTGGAACAACAGACGCAAATTGCAGAAAGTCGCCAGAGTAGCTGTTCATCCTGGCACTGATGTTAGAGTATTTGCCTGCTGCGAGGCTCACAATGATGTCTCGGCCCTCTTCTTTACAGCAGCTGCCTTTTTCGGAGTACGCGCAGGGGGCCCTGAAAGTGGGAGCCAAGACACTACGGTACAACAATGCACAACATGTCATTTCTGACTGGTGGATGATTCCAAAATGTTCCAAAACTTGATTCAGCAAGCAAAATTTGGATCATGATCACTAGGTCAATCTTAGATGGGTAGACGCATGTAGACACTAATCCTTCAGCCTTTTGGTAGGGGATTATCTACGTTCACCAGCTCAAACTTTTCAATTTTTTGAAGGGTATCTGGCTGATTGGCCATGGGGAATGGCTGGGATATATTGGGGAAGATGAATATTAATAGGATATAATAGGGATGATATGGCATGATATAGTTCAAAAAAAGTTGATTCGCGAATTTTTCGGCAACTAGGTAAGGAACTTGGCCATGTTTACAGGAATTAATGGATGTTAAATAATGAATGTTACCCTCTGGTTATTTGTTACATAGCTATTGAAAATGGCCCATTTATAGATGGTTTACCTATTGAAGATGGTGATTTTCTATAGCTATGTTAGTTTACCAGAGGGTGATCTGATTAAATGATGATTATAATGGAATATGATTGATTTGTTTAAACATTATTTAGATAATGTTAATCAAATGACTTTCAAACCAGCAAAAACATCTCAGGTCTGGCTGTTTACAGTGCATTTGATCGTCTACTCACACAACGGCATGGGCTCGGCACTCAGGGTTGAACGGTCCATTTCGGACCAGAGAGGTGACATGTTTTCATGTACCCTCTGGTAAACATACAAAAAACGATCGAAAATCACCATGCTATTTATAGGAAAACCAACTATTTCTATGGCCATTTTCAATAGCTTTTTGTATGTTTACCAGAGGGTATTCTCCGGAAATCAAACGTTGCTTGCTGGAAAATCCCTAAACTAAATGGAGGTCTTAATGGGAAATTCATCTATCTGGCCAAATTATAACGACCTCACTGTTCTCCCGAACGTTAATCAGGGAAATCATCCCCAAATTGCCCAACTATTCAGGTTAGTGAAATATCATAATTTACCCATATAGTGTATCATTATGGATCATACATGATTCTACATGACTTAATCTGGATAAGTTATCACTAAATTAGTGAAATATTACAATTTACCCAGATCTATTATATAAATCGGTGATTTTCACTTGCCACGTTTGCCAGAGGTCCTGATCCCCCATTGATAGGTGGCTGATCCCATTATTTATAGGGTTTCAAACACCCAAGGTGGTGCAGGATTTCTTCCATCCACAGTAGTGGTGCTAAATTGGGAGAATTTTCGCCCAGTTGATGTAGGAATCCATTTGGACTCTGCTTTCACTGCGGCACAGGTTGGTGACGGTTGGTGGTTTGGAAGATTCTTCAGTGTCCAACCATGTCCAAGCCATGTGGGCTATGGAAAATCATGGGAAATCACCATTTTTCATAGGTAAATCATCTATAGATGGGCTATTCTCCATAGCTATGTTAGCTTAAAAGAGGATGATCTTCATTGACAAGCATGTCCCAGGAGGGTTGAAGCCAACAATCAGATTAGTTCCTTTTTGCTGGCCCTAGTCCATTGGCAATGCGTGTTTATTACTTTTTCATAAACTTCAACCCTGGCTGTTCTTGGCTGTATCACCGAAACCATATCCTTATACTGTGCCATGTCTATAGTTATATAGATACATATGCAGTTGAACCGTTTTGCATAGCAGACATAGCATTGTATACCTTTACAATGCCTTGGGTGGAGATTCTATATAGAGTAATTAGATTGCGGAGTAGCCAAACATTTGTATATATGTACCTGTTGGTTTACACAGAAAATTTATGTGCACATGGAGATATCATGCATATGCGTGTGTGCATTGCTATGACGCTGATCAAGCTTCATCTCGCTTGATCCCGCTTGATTCCGCTTGATCCCCCCCAGTAAAAAGGTTGGCTTATAAACAATAGTAACTAGTTCCATAACCATATATCTACCATAAAGCCAACAATGAAATTAGAGTTTATAAACACACCAACTTAGCGATTTAGCTCACTGCATCCCCAGTGGTGTTTGGATCTGTTTGTTTAGGCCTGGGCATGCTCCTCTTCGTAGCACAGTTCCTGGACTTTTTGTCCACGACCATGGCCATGCTGGTCCTGGTGGCACTGGTGCATGGAGTCTACGTGGTGAGGTCGGGTCGGGGGGCCGGCAAGCCGAAATCCGAAAGTGGTTGGATGGTATCCAACCATGGAAAGCTGGATTTATGGTGTGTGTATATATATATATTATATACATATTACAAGCCCCACATGGCGGATCAAAGAGTCAAAATGACAACAATGCGGATACAATCAATGTAATAGGGATTTAATGTCAACCCTGGATTAATAAACCCCTAGGCTGTTTAATTGGGAAGGTACCATTTAAGTATCAAATCATGACTATTGGCGGAATACCCCCCTAATTAATAAACCATGGTTTATTAATCCGGGGTTGACATTATATTCTTTAATATCCTTCAATATTTGTTGTGTCTTGGTGGCTATGGACTTTAGGGAAGGTCTTGAACACATCTGGGATGAATCATGGGATATTTACCTTCTGGTAAACATACAAAAACGATGGAAAATCAAACTTTTTAATAGGTAAATCAACTATTTCTATGGCCATTTTCAATAGCACACTGTTAGTTTGCCAGAGGGTAATTCCTATTAATACCCCCATTTTGGTTTGGTGAATTCCCACTAAAATACCATGAAATTACCAGAGGGTAACCACTTTCATGACGATTTACTCCAAAGTATTGCAATTATGGTAGCGAAAATGAGGCCTTATCTCGGCGCCACATTTTTCAAACAATCCCAAGTGCTGCAGTCGCGGTGAAAGACAAGAACGCCCCCCATATGTCATGGAAAGAAACATGATTTTCTGTACATGTAGGTTTTTCTGGTTGGTGGTTTGGAACATTTTTTATTTTTCCATTCAGTTGGGAATGTCATCATCCCAACTGACGAACTCCATCATTTTTCAGAGGGGTAGGTATACCACCAGCCAGTCATTCCATCCATAATAACTATAGGATTTTTCTAGTGCTACTTATCCTGGTTGGTGCTTTGGAACCATAAAAGCCCAACCCCTTAGAAAAGAGCCCAACTTGCCGCTGTGCTGCCTTTGGCAGTTTTCACAACAAGACCAGTCCATTAAGGTTGCAAGTGTAGCTGTGGTGAAAGTTGATATATTGTCAAAAAACATCAAAAAGCACTTGCATATAGATATAATTAATGTATCGTTAGTCTTATTTATATGAATATGAATATAAATCCAATGATAATGAATATATGTATATATATGTGTGTGTGTGTGTACACCACCCAGCAAAAAGTAAAAACAACAACAGGAAAAACAATGGTGAAATGTCTGCATATCGACTACAACATCCCTAGAAAACGATGTTTCCACCTCTTTACTTGTTCCCATTATATAATATCCCTGTGCAATCATAATTCGTAAAATAGTAGCAATCATCTCTATCCACGAAGGGAATGATTGTTTCGCGCTCTTGGCTGCCCCATTTGTTGGGTTGCTGCGCTACTCGCCCCTGACCCTGGGTCAGTCTCATCTGTTGAGATGGCGATGGAGAGATATCTCTATCCACCATTCCACCATCATATCCTCTTATACTCCCATATAACCTCTATAAAATGCCTATGTAATCCCTTTCAAATCAAAAAAAATCAGCATGAATATCCCATGAATATCCCATTCAAAATCCCTTTGAAATCCCAAAAAATCATCCAATAAATCGCTATAAAATCCCCATCAAATCCCTACAGACCTTGATGCATCGCCGGCAGACCCTGCATCCCCGTCGGCTCCGCCGAACGCACGGCGCTGATGAGGGTGCCGCGCAGGGCCCGTGGAGGGCGCAAACGGGTCGATTCAAAGCTGGCTACATGGGAAAGCCGTGGAAATCCACAACAAATAGGGATACAAAGGTCAATTTTACTAAAGGGTACAAACTAATCCTGACTAGTCAAAACTTTAGTCTTTTCGTATCAATGGGAATATCTACGTTCACCAGCAAAGAATTTGTCATTTTTTGCAGGGTATCTAAGATTGGCAATGGGTTGAATAGAGATTTGTCATCAACACATAGCCGGTTGGTGGTTTCAAACATTTTTGGAATTTTCCAGAATATATGGGATAATCCTTCCCATTGACTACTATTTTTCAAGATGGTTAAAACCACCAACCAGATAGGGGTTTTGCTGCAATTTAGTGAATATCAATTGAGATTTTGTTTGTATCACAATGAATATCTATGGGAAAAGGATGATATAAAATAATCAGACGGGGCTGGAAAAATCCACTATAAATGGAGATGCTTAATGGGAAGGTCATAGGGGAATCATGAGAAAATTCGGAAAAACATGATAATGGAGGTTTATTGCTGGAAAATCATCGAAGTAAATGAGTGATTTGTCATTGCTTTGTTTGATTACTGGAGGGCGAATATGCACATATACATATACATATACATATACACTTTGTTTATGTTTATATACAGTATCCCCAAAAAAAAGATAGATAAATATACATATATACATATACATAAGTTTGCGAAAAAATGGTGGGAAACATCAAGCAACAAAAGGAGTTGACGATGAACATGGCGGTTATTCTCCATGCTTTATGGTTACCAGTAGTACCGCACAAGGCGGTGGCGGAAGTTTCAGAATAGGAAACCTATAGGAGACGTTGGTTGTTGTGAATCACGGATGGCAGAGCGAATCCACTGATTGACCGAAAGGTGGTTGGAGTTGTGTTTGCTGGAATGGTTGCAATGGTTGCAGTGGTCACCTCACCCACAACTGCTGGATGTAGTGTGATGTACTGCAACTGTAGTTGTAGTTGTAGGGTAGTGGAGTTGTAGTTGTGGTGTAATGTAATTAGTGTAGTGTAGTTGCAGTCATATAGTTGTAGCTGTAGTTGTTTTGTAGTTGTAGTTGTTGTAGTTGTAGTTGTAGTTGTTGTTGTCGTTGTTGTAGTTGTAGCTGTAGTTGTTGTGTGGTTGTAGTTGTTGTTGTTGTTGTAGTTGTTGTTGTTGCTGTTGTTGTTGTTGTTGTAGTTGTAGTTGTCGTTGTCGTTGTCGTTGTTGTTGTTGTTGTTGCTGCTGTTGTTGTTGTAGTTCTAGTTGTAGTTGTAGTTGTAGTTGTAGTTGTTGTGTAGTTGTTGTAGTTGTAGTTGTTGTAGCTGTAGTTGTTGTGGTTGGTGTTGTTGTTGTTGTTGTTGTTGTTGCTGTTGTTGCTGTTGCTGTTGCTGTTGCTGTTGCTGTTGCTGTTGCCGTCGAAGTTAGGGTAGTTAAGTTAGTGAAGTTAGTTAAGTTAGTCAAGTTAGTTAAGTTAATCAGTGTCTACTTTTTCGACATCTTCACGTCAAAAAAGGCTCAAAACCCGCAGTTTTTTACACTTTTAACTTCCAAATATGCTTCGCGCCACAACGGCGTGCGCTTTTTCGAAACTCCACATCTCAGCCTCCAAAAGTGGTCCGAACCCCTGGTGCTTTGCACATTTTGACTTCGAAATGTGCTTCGCGCCGCAACGGCGTGCACTTTTTCGAAACTCGACCTCTGAGCCTCCAAAAGTGGTCCGAACCCCTAGTGTTTTTAACATTTTGACTTCGAAATGTGCTTCGCGCCACAACGGCGTTCACTTTTTCGACATCGGAACTTCCAAAAGTGGTCCGACCATGGTGTGTTTTGTACATTTTGACTTCAAAATGTGCTTCGCGCCACAACGGCGTGCACTTTTTCGACATCGGAACTTCCAAAAGTGGTCCGACATTGGTGCGTTTTGTACATTTTGCCTTCCAAATGTGCTTCGCGCCACAACGGCGTGCACTTTTTCGACATCTCAACTTCCAAAAGTGGTCCGCTCCTCTAGTGTTTTGTCCATTTTGACTTGGAAATGTGCTTCGCGCCACAACGGCGTGCACTTTTTCATGTCTCATCTGGCCAGCTGGCTCCGCACCCGCCGCTTTAGCGAGCCTACTTTTCGACCCTCCGGAGCCACAAATCATTGGAAAAACACAGTGAATCTCGACTTTCCTATCTTTTCGCGCATCTACCTCTTCTTTCTTCTGATCTTGTCTCTTCTGACTCTTCTCACCTCTGCTTTTCAACTGTCCATATTGTCGGAAGTTTCACTTCTAAACTTCCTTCGATTATTTACAGTTAATAGCAGTTTAAGAAAAAAACTACAGTTATATAGTACTGCATCAGTTTAAGAAAAAACATGTTTATATAGTAACTCAACAATAGCGATTAATGACATTCTACGGTTCGATGTTTTTTGGGTTGCTATAAGCAACAAATCGTTCGATCCATAGGCGAAACGGATCGCCAGGTGACTGGTTCCTTTGGCGCGACCTTCCTTCTGTCCACGCTCTTCTGCGGCTTCAAGGCAGAATCCAGCGGTCAGTGGAAATGTTGGGTGTTTTATCTTTCATGGCCTGTATATTACATATACACACACGCACATACACACACATAGTATATATATATGAATATATATATATATACATGAATATATATATATATGTCGTCTTCTTTCATTGATTGGATTGGAAAATGGTAAGTGTACTATACTGGATGAAAAATCCTAGAAAAATGACTGGACAATTACTTATACATGGTGGATTTTGAGGAAGCCATGTTTGATGACACCGGAGGCTATACCAATCAATTATATTTCTTATGTGGATGTCACCTATATACCCCACTGTGCATATGTATATAGAGAGATATTTCACCCACTTACATGTATATGATAGTATCATATAATTCTATTTAAGTATATGTAACATGCGCAATTACACAGTATATATAATTGTCTTTCATTACATCACTATTAAAAATATAGGTTACCCTCTGGTAAATTCACGAAGACCCTGAAAATCACCATTTGTTATAACATCCACATATAGATTCAATATACAACTGCGATGGGCTACTGGATTAGAACATCTCAAAGTAGATTATATCATCCCAAAATAACCAATCTATTGGGCCATTTAAGTATTAATCTGTAACCATTCACAATTACACAGAAGTACATCATTATCTTTCATTACATCACTATTAACAAACAAAACAACAATCTATTGGGGGTCTTATAGATTATAGAAAGTAGTAAGCCCAATCATAAACCTCCCATTGAGGGGGATAGTATTATTGCTAATAGGTTTCATATTATATTTCCATTATACTATATCATTGCAATATTATATTTCCATATTGTATTAGTGCTAACTGATAGTATTATCTTTCATTATTTTATATCACTATATAGTATATATGTATATATACACATAATTATCTTTCATTACATCACTATTAAAAAATATATACCCTCTGGTAAACTAAAACAATTATGGAAAATCACCATTTTTAATGAGTAAATCAACTATTTCTATGGCCATTTTCAATAGCTATGTTAGTTTATACCAGAGGGTTTGGAACATGTTTTTATTTTCCATATATTGGGAATAATCATCCCAACTGACGAACTCATATTTTTCAGATGGGTAGGTATACCACCAACAAGGTATATATATATATAGATAGTTCTCTTTCATTACATCAATCTTTAAAAAAATATAAGTTCCATTTCCCCCTTAGGTGACCCCGCTCAGGTGGACGGACCCATCAGCCCCTTTGGTGTTCTGCGAGGTCCGGCTGCGATGTCCCTCGGTGCGGCACAGGGTGGCACAGCCGGTGGCAAAGCCAGAGCAAAACATGGGAAAAAGGTAAGCAGAATCATGGAAAACATGGGAAAATACATGAAAATACACTATAAATGGATGTTTTTGTTGCGGAAATTTTCACTATATATATATGTTTTAATCATCTGTAAGTGGAGGTTTTATTAGGGAGAATCATGTATAAATGGAGGTCTAAATGGGAAAAATCATCTATAAATATTGGATTGTGCATTGCCATCTTTGATTACCGGATGGTATTTGATTGTTTGTCCAAAACGACCATGGTTCCTAGATGTGTCCAGCTTCTGTTTTCAACACCGGTGGTGTAAATCACCTTGGAAGTGTTGAAGACAATTTAAAAGAGTATGTTGTGTAGCTGGGTAGATACATAATGATATCATATGTTTTTATATATCTATCTATCTATCTATCTATCTATCTATCTATCTATCTATCTATCTACCTATCTATCTATCTATCTATCTATCTATCTATCTATCTACCTATCATATGTTGTTTATATATCAATAAATATAGATATATCATATACCATATATCCCCATGAATTTTCTTTGGATCTCTTGGAATCCGCTGTGTCCCAGCGTCGAAACTCTAAGGCCTTATTTGCTGAGCAGGACGATTACAGGTGCCCCGAGATCAGTCAAGACTCGCGGTGACTGAGACTCAAACAATATTAACTTGTACATACCTATACCAAGCTATAGACCATTATTAACCTATATTACCCAGTGAAATGGCGTGAGTTCCGACGCGCCCAGATGTGCTCCTCACTTTTTCAGGCGTTTTCTGCCTCAACCAGGGCTTCACCCTTGCGCAGGCGGAGCGGTCCAATTTCCACGTGCAGATGGGTAGAAAATGGTAATTTAGCAATTTAGCATTCCCATATATTCAATGGTCATTGGAAGAATCGAATATGTTCAAATAATGGATTTTCTCTAGAATTTTGTTAAGTTCCGATATTCCCATTGGTTGAAAATGGTGATGGAATCAAAAAACAATCAAGAGAACGATTTTCGGAATGAAAACAATCAAATGATGGACTGAAAATAGTGCTGGGATGCGTATTTGAAATTCAGAATCACTCAATAAGAATTGGGGAATTTGTCATCCCATAGAGCGATTCCGTTCATTTTACCAACGGCTAAACCTCAGCGGTCAAAGAGCCATCTCACTCTTTTGGGGGAAATCATTCCCAGATTTTATATACATATGTATATATATATATATGCATACTTAACATCAACAATTAATATCAATATTTTCAACTATATATATATATTCAGCAACACATTTCATTCACCTCACCCTGTAACTAATTTGATTTTTTGATCATCATGGAAAATCCACACGAAAACTCTCGAAAAAAACAAGGGGGCCCTGCACAGGTTCCAACAAAACAAGCAGAGAAAATGCATGTTTTTTGGCAATCAAACATATAAAATGATGAACATGAATGTTTTTTCAAAAAAAAATGCAAAAATATGGGAAAACCAACTACAATAACTAAACAAGGGTTTCCAAATCTTTTTCCTGCCACATGTTTTTTGGTCATCAAACCATGGGATGTTCCAGCATCTTCCAGCAGCGGTCCCTGTCGCCATGTTGGATGATCCCATAAATCCGATTCACATTCAGCAAAATCTTATGAAAGCCCCATTTAAATCCCATTACGAAACCCCATTCATATCCATGAAATCCCAGTTCATATCCATTATATCACATCCATGAAAAGCTGCATTAAACCACTCCCATTATTTCACCATGAATATCAAGATCCATGAAAATACCCCATGAAATCCATGAATACACCCATTAGACCCCATGAAATTCCCTGAAAAAAAACAGCAAAAATCCCATGAAGTTCCTACGTGTTGATGGTTTTCCACCTCCATTGCCGTTTGGGTTCTCAGGCATCGGAGGCTGCAGACAAGAAACCCTTCATCCTCAGGTGAAGCAACATGAGCTGTCAAGGATAAGGTTTATAGTGACTATATAGGGGTTATATTATATGGGAATTTTTTGAGGATATAGTGATTATTTCAGGGGAAACGGGAATGATATAGGCAAAACCGGCTTGATATGGGTTTATGGGGTGATATGGTGGAAATCATGGATTGGAAGCAACATGAACTCCTCAGTCTATTTCTGGTTGGTCGTTTGGAACATGACCTTTATTTTCCCCAATAGTTGGGATGATTTTCATATTTTTCAGGGGGGTTGAACCACCAATTAGATTTTATAATTAATATGCTTTCCCAATGGATTTAATGGTGGTTGTCTGTGATTGTGGGCGCTTCTTTTTCTAGCTGCTAGCTATGATAGACGAAAATGTAGATTGAAACAGCCAACATACAAGCATGTGAATTTTACCAGCAATAAACAGCAATCATAGGTGTGTCATACCTATGACATAACCATCAAGAACGGAGACGACGGTGACCCGGTGCGAAGCAGTGAACTGAAATTGTATGGGTTGACACGGGCAAGCATCAAGACAGTCTCAGCCGTCCTGGGGACGGCCGTGGAAACTGCAGGTTTGCCTTCTTATCCTCGGCGTGGCTTCTCATCATGCCTGTTGGGCACTCAGCCGATGGTAATCCCTGGGTGGGTCCATTTGGAGAACGACCCCCATGTTTCGCAACCAACGAAGACATCATTGTTGGATTCGCATGATATCAATGATATCCCAATTTTCAGGGGATATGCCCCTTTATGTTTCCAATTATCCCTACTATTTCCTGCATATACCACACTACAGCAACCCCAAAAACATTTTCAGAAAATAGTCAATTTAATCGATTTACCATCTAAATGTTCTGGAAACTGGATTTTACCAAAGAAAAGATATCATGTAATTATATCATGTATATCATGTATATCATGTATATCATTATATGTATATCTATATGTATTTATGTCTATATCTATATCAATATCAAAATTTAATTGATATATCCGATATTGATATCAAAATATGATTATTATAGATTAGAACAATATTTTGTTTTTTCTAGACTATTATATTTATCCTGATCTAATCTATCCCTGCGGTGTTGCTACATATTTTGCCCATTTTCTCCATGCTTTCTTCGCCTCCGAGTTCATCATGCTCTTCTCGAGCGAAGATTCCTGGCATCGAGAAGCCGTCAGGGGATCCCAGATCAGCTTCGCCGTCCACCGTCGGCGTCGGGATACCCGGATAGGTTATGTCAAAATAGCTATTGAACATGGCCCACTCGAAATAGTGGATGTACCCATTGAAAATAAGGATTCATAAGTATCAATAAGGATTCATATGGTGATTTTCAATAGTTTTTTGTATGTTGACCAGAGTAAAATATGTGAAAATACACTATAAATCATGGGGAAATCATGGGAAAATAATAGGAAGATCATGGGAAAATACACTATGAATGGAGGAATTATCCATTCAACTGGTATTTTAGATGGTGATTTTACTGGGAATTCACCAAGCCAAAATGGGCGTATTTATAGGAATTACCATCTAGTAAACTAACAGTGTGCTATTGAATATGGCCATAGAAATAGTGGATTTACCGAACGTACAAATGGTGATTTTCCGTAGTTTTTTGTATGTTTACCAGGCCGGGTATCTTGGGGCCCACCGCGTTTTTGAGAAGGGTTACCTTCGATGGAAAACACGGAAAAAACGGGGTTAACCATCAAGAAATGCGGATTTTTCATGGGCTTTGATGGAAATATCTTGGGAATAGAATGGGAATCTTCAAGCGTGGACTGCTGGAGATGGCGCTGGAAAATCGCCGGAAGTAAGTTTTGCAGTTTATAGCTGGGAAAATCCTCGAACAGCATTGAAGTCAATGGGAATTCCAGGATCCTAAAATGGAGGTACTGTACCATATAAGGCCATATTTTGGGGGGGTATCCCCTTACATAGCCCTGAAATATAGGCCTTATATATGGTAGGTACCTTCATTTTAGGTTCCTGAAATTCCCATTGATGCATGGTCAGTTTCCAGCTAGCCATGTTTGATTCGCCGGGGGTATCTTCGAAGTGTAAGTTGGTGCATAACCCCCATCTAGCTGGGTGTGTCCAAGAATTTGGCTGGCTTAGGACCTCATTTTCCTTCTCAAAATTACCATAATAATCACCATTTCAAATGATCTAAACCCACAAATTCCCTAAATTCCTTGGTTTTACCCCCCATAAATTCATTTGGCTGCGACCTCAGTGGTCTTGTTGGGCCTTGCAAAACCAGATATCTTACGTTTCTGCTGGAGAGTTGGGCGTTTTGGTTAGATCTCCCATGTCTTCAATGGGAATTCCAGGATCCTAAATTGGAGGTACTGTACCATATAAGGCCATATTTTGTGGGGATATTCCCTTACATAGGGCTTACACAGGCCTTATATATGGTAGGTACCTCCAATCTAGGATCCTGGAAAAGCCATTGATGTCTTGCTTAGCCAAGCCCCGTTGGGCACCACAAAATCCAGGTGATCATGGACCTGACGACGGCTGCGGCCTTTAGCATCCTGCTCTGGGACTTCTGGCGCCTTGCCATGGGAGGTTTATGGGTAAATATCGGGAAATATATAGGGTTAAAGCGGGTTTTCCTGTAAATTGGAATATAGTATGCCATTGTTTTTGGGTGTTCCTTTATTTATAGGGATATAAGAAGAGATATTTTATGATAGGGATATGGGTATGGACATGTAGAGATAGAATCAATCAGTGATGATTGATTGATGATTATATGGGATTAACCTTGAGAAATAATTACCCAAGAACATGGGATTGAATGAGATTTCATGGGGATTGAATGGGGGTTTGAATAGGTATTTAGCCAACAATGATGAGATATGATATGATTTAATGGGGATAAGGGAATGATATACCCAACTTGATATGATAGTCTGATAGTCGGTTGCGTCTGAAAATTGGGTCCGTCCAGCCATTTTGATGGGTAGAATGTTGATAAACGCTAGGAAATTTGAAGGTACCCTATTCTCACGCAAACTCAAATGTAACACGGAACCCAAAAATTCGCAGAAATATCGGAAAAAATCGGACAATCATCTTGAGACCCCGCAGTTCTATCTTAAATCTAGGGGCGAGTATTGTATGGCATTGTTTCTTCGAAAAGTTTGGAATAGCAACTTCAGGTGATTGAAAACTATTCCATAGTATGTCGCTGTTGAGGAGCATTTTAAGATTCCGTGTTCAGTTTTTGATGGATAAACCCCATACATTCCCAAATCCCCAGAATCAACAAGGGTTTACGCTTATGAATCCAGAGTTGACAGCGTGAATGTGCTAGATGTTGATTCCATTGTGGTTGGCTCGCGAGTCAAATGTCCTATTTTGGCTCGTGGAAACCGTGCTGCTGAACCCACTTGTGGAAAACAAAACAATACCCGATTTTGATTGATGCTTATGATCCTGGCCCATTAGGTGCTTGAAATCTGATCATGTGGCATTAGCTGTTTGAAATATTATCGGTAGGTTTCATCAAGGTCCTCATCGTCTACTCCTAGGACCAAACGACAATGTTTCAATAATCCACCATTTTTTGAAGATGCCCATCATTGACGGACTATATCCCGCACTTCATAATGTTAAAAGTTCTAGTTCATAATGCTGGTTGAAATCACAATAAATCCCAGACTGGTTGGTGGTTTGGAACATGATGATGGTGAATAGTGGTTAACAATGGTTAATAATGGTTAATGATGGTTAATAATGGTATTTCCGTTTCAAACATTTTTGGAATTTTCCATTTCATTTATGGGATGTCATCCCAACCCCATTGACGAACTCCATCATTTTTCAAGATGGCTATTACACCACCAACCAGAGATATATTGCTAGCTGATGGATGGTTCATGGATTTATTCCCTAAAATATGGTAATTTCATGTAGTGTGTGAGTAAGACAATTAATAAATCACTATAAATCACTATAAATCCCAGACATTTCGATAAACTTGCCCATTTTGGATCTTTTTTCTCTCCCTGGTGTGTTAAATCATGGTGTTCAATCCTGTTCAAAATCCCCATGGTTTGATGGTTAAACCCAGCCCATTCACCGTGGAAAATCCATTTACCCTCTGGTTATTTAACGTAGCAAACTGGAAAATCCACCCATTTTTCAGTTTGGGTAAGTCACCTTCTGAATCATCTATAAATTTCATCAATGGGCCATTGATCCATTGTCCATAGCTATGTGACAAATAACCAGGAAGTACCCTCTGGTAAACTAACATAACAATGGAAAATCACCATGTTTAATGTGAAAATCCACTATAAATGGGCCATTTTCAATAGCTATGTTAAATCACCAAAGGGTAATTTGTTTATGATTGAATCTAAAGTTTTTCGCGGTAACTACATGTCTGACCATGGCTTACTGGAAATCCCCGATTTATACTTGATTTTCCCAGCGAACTAAACCTCCAGCCATGTGGAGGATTTTCCAGCCATATTTGATTATCCCATGAGATTCCCATTGGTGTCATCTTATGTCCATGAAATCCCATTGATATCCATTCATATTCAATACCCTCTGGTTATGTCAAAATAGCTATTGAAAATTGCCATTTATAGTGGATTTACCCATTGAAAATGGTGATTGTCCATAGTGGTTTCAAACAAATGGCTGGTTGGTGGTTGGTGGTTTCAAACATGTTTTATTTTCCAGTTCATATATGGGATGTCATCCTTCCCATTGACGAACTCCATCATTTTTCAAGATGGTTATTGCACCACCAACCAGATTTATATTCATTGAGACATCCCTTAAGACATTTGGGCCCAAGGCCCAGCCGTTTCGGAGCCCTGTTCAGCTGCATCAAGCCAACTGCAACCTGTCTCACGGGATTCAGGCGATGAATTTGATGGAACTGTTTTTCAGCAAGAATGTTTTTTTCAATGGATTGGTTTAAGGGAAAATCTGAACCGGAAACCATGGTGTTTACCATCAAATATGGGTTTTCCCTGTAATTTTTCCCATCATCCAATTCTATGAATTGTTCATTGGATTTAATGGATATGATATCATGGATTTGTTCATGGGATTTATATCATGGATATCGGATTGAATGGGGTGATTAAATGAATGTTAATGTACATCTTCATGGAATTTCTGAGTGAGATTTTTGGGGGGCTTTAGTGGGATATGTATGGGATCGACATGAGATAATCAAACATGGCTACCCGGGTTGAATTTCCCGAACTCAATGGAGGTTTAGTTCGCTGGAAAAAACAACTATACATAGGAGTTTTTCCAGCCATGTTTGATTACCGGGTATACATCTCGGGGATGGTAAAGGCCAACCAGCTGCAATATGTTTTGTAATGTCTGAATGATTCACTGGGCTAACATTGAATGTCAACATGTTTTACATTAATTAAAATCACAGTTTTATATCAACTTCATTATAAGTATACTATGAATGTGTTTTAATGTTGTCTAACTTCTAGTATGATTTAGTTGAAGGATATATCGATATTTGATATATTTGGGGATGGGGCTGGTGCCTTGGCAAGGGATAAGGCTCTTGCCCAAAGTGCAGCATGGGACCATGGTACCGGTGGCGCCAAGGAGCAATTGGGGTATCCATAAAAGCCCCAACTGGGGAGCCAGTTGGAGCTAAGAAATTCCCAACCATATCTGGTTGCTGGTTTGGAACAATTTTTTTATTTTTCCACATATTGGGAATAATAATCCCCAACTGACGAACTCATATTTTTCAGAGGGGTTGAAACCACCAACCAGGGTAGTTGAAACCTCTGTGTTCGCATGGAACAACTGATGTCCTAGTTGTCCATCAGAACAATCCATTGATTCATGGGAAAATGATCTAAAGTGGCTCCAGGATCATTTCAGTACCGGGATCGCAATAGGGTGGAAGAGGAATATGAGCTTTCCTATGGATGGTTGTGCACACAACACACGACACTTGTAGAAGAGAATGGTGTTTTTAAATAAATGACAAAATAAACGATTATAAAGCATAGATACGCCAAACACAGAAAAAGCATGTATACACGCAATATATATGCATATTGAAAAACATTATATACATCGAACCTACTGCCAATGACCGTAGATATAGAAAAATCAGCATTTATAGATGACTTCCTGAGGTTCCCCACTTCCCCATAGGTTTTCCAATGTCTTGCATATCTTTTTTGGCGTTATTTACCCAGATTTTTTTGTGGGTGAAGCGTGGATGAACTGAGGAGCGGTTGCATCCCTACTCTGAGTCTGGCCCTTGGTCATTTCCGTAAGATGTTCACTGGGATTCACGCAAGACATGGCAAGTTTAATGGAGGGAAATGAGCCAATCTAGACATTTCTCGACCCTTTGTTTCAGAGAAAAAAAGATCGAAAGATGTTGGATCATGTCTCGAAAAAAAACTGCTTGGTGGTTTAGAATTTTTTTTTGACTTTCCATAATAATTATTGGGATGTTCCCTGAAATGTAGGCCTGATATACATATATATATATATAGGCCAAAAATATATGGAATCGGTACCTCCAATTTACTGTAGGTTCCTGAGTCATGGCCATAGATAATTATTGGGAATTTCATCATCCCAACTGACGAACTCCATCATTTTTCAGATGGCTAGGTTGAAACCACAAACCAGAAAAGTGTAGCTCCAGATCAGCGACATCAAAACCCATTTTTTTTGTCACACCGGAACCGCACCGGTGGCCACTGCTGCCGCCGTTTTTGTTCAGCGCAGCACGAGTCTCCGTGTCCAGCAACTTGTGGGCCATGCTGCGCCTGTCCGTGAAACGCTTGGGACTGCGGCCGGCACGGCCATTGCTTGCAACCGTGGCTGGCCATGGGCAACGTATGAGGACGATCCTGGATGTGGGGAGATTGGGAGATGGCAGCATGGAGGATTTTGCGAAAAAAACAGTTGGTTCATAGAACCTACCCTCTGGTAGTTTCTTACATAGCTATCGAAAATTGTCATAGAAATATTGATTTACCCATTAATTAAAAATGATGATTTTTCATAGTGATGTTAGTTTACCAGAGGGTGTTTTTGTAGTATATGATCATTATTTTGGGGTTAACCCTGCCAATTGACAGTCAGGGTTTATCATTGCGGAGTTGACATTAGTCAGGGCTGGAAGAAAGTACTTTCACAGTCTTCAGACATGCTCAGTCCCAAAGATGTCCCAAGTTTTCCCCTGAATCCTCTGACATCCTCTGACACTGAATCACAAGCTAAGCCGCAACACTCTCCAGTTTTTTCCCATGATGTTCTCGGCAGACACGGGTGCTTGACCGATTTTTTGGGGAACAATATCTTTGGAAAATACTTAAACGGCATAGGCAACATCACTGGGTTAACAGTTAGATGGATGATTACCAAATAATGGGTTACCCTCTGGTAAATTAACATAGACCCTGGCAGATAGGGGTTGGAAGACTAGTTTCCATTAAAAATTGGTGATTTTCAGGGTCTATGTTAATTTACCAGGTGGTATCGGTTATCGTTTATACCAAGTACTCACTAATGTGGGAAGCCCAATAATGAGCGCCTACCATGTGGGGATGGCTTCAATCGCACCCATCAAAACGATGATTTTGGGGATGGTTTGTGGTAATTATTGGATTTACCCACATAACTGGTTGGTGGTTTGGAAAATGAAGGTTATTTTCCATTTCATATATGGGATGTCATCCTTCCCATTGACTTTCATATTTTTCAAGATGGTTAAAAGTTAAAACCACCAAGCAGAATGTCATGATTTGATGTTTAATCCCAAGTTCTGGGTACCCTCCGGTAAACGTTTACATAACTATGGAAAGATCCACCATTTTCAATGACCAAATCCACTATTTCTATGGTCATTTTCAATAGCTATTCACATGGTGCAAGGTTGTCCATGTCATAGTGCCCATGTCGCAGGAAGCAGTCCTTCGGCTACGGCGACCATGCCCCGCCCGATGCGCCGGGCTTCGGTGGTGAGCATCAGCAGTACCCACCAGAGACCGTGGGCAACACGGTGAAGTACATCTCCGAGAACATGACCAACCCACCCAAATATAAGGAGATGGCTGGTGGGTGGGGGTTTAGACACATATAACATATATATATATAGGTATGTATACACACATATATATATATATATTCATATACATGTTTATTTATGCACACATAAGGAGAATTATATGGCAAGAGTCTAAAACCCGCATTTATGACTTCTATGACCACTGGCCAGAAAAACTACCAACTAATAACCCAACTAAAAGCATAAATCTCCAAAAATGGTCATCATGATGATTGACTTGTGCTCTTCGATGGCTATTTTTCTGGCATAGTGCATGTGTTGCGTCAAGAGCATCTCCACAACAACACTCTGCCCTGTGCTGACCAGACTAAGTCGGTATCCCCAGTTGTACCTTCTTTGGCATCACTCTTTACAACAGGGTTGCTCCAACCCATTCTAGGTGAAAGATGACCACAAAGAGGGGAGAATTGTCATGTGACCTCTGTATCTACCATTATCTACCCATTTTTACCCCTTGCATCTGGGATGTTGGGAGCAACCCTGTGTTAATTTTACATAATTTTACATGTTACGTCACTCTTTGGACCCGCAAAGCGGGGCTGCTCGCCTGCCAGATCCCCGACCAGGAGATCATTGAAGGAATTGGCTACCCTGGGCAGAAGAACTCGCATGGTGGTTTGTGCACCCTGGGCCGCATCTACTACGGCCCGGGCCGTTACGACTATGGCCGCCCCAAGATGCCCAAGGGATGGGTTGCCAACTTTTTCTATCCTCTCTGGGAGTTCGGCTTCTTGAACGCATTTTGGAACGTTGAATCCGCGCTTGATAGATCTTGATAGTCATGCAGATTAGCCACATCATGGCGCATCAACAATATGTTTTCATGCAAGAGTGCCTAAAGGATGGATGCATATGATGCATATGCAACTGGCACGTTTACTCTAGTTAGTTGTTTTTAGTTGCTCTTGACTTGGGTGATTGTGTGCAACAAACTCAGCATCTAAGCAAAGCAAGGAGTATCAAGTAGCCGAGCAAACCGCTGAGGCCACATCTTCTTTGTTGCCGATCGTTGGCTGGCGTGGCGTGCCCTTCGTCACATCTTGGCCATCACCATTTGCTTCATCCCAATGAACATCCACATGCATTGGAACGCCCGGATGATGGAGGATTACAAGAAGACACACGAGTGGTGAGAGGATTGGCCCACTACAAATGGCACAAGGCTGCCCCAGACCGGCATCACAACCCTAGAATCATGAGACAACATAACGGATTTCCAAAGAAAAATCATCCAGAAGACAGATCTCAGCTTTGCGTCAGATTTGGCATAAGCTTATGGGGCATGCCTGTGCAGTTCGCTTCCGATGTTACCAAGTTTCAAAGAGAGGCTGTCATCTCCCAAAGGTGCCAAAAGAATGCGGTTCGGGCTTGGTTGCCCTTTCTACCATTTCTCTATTCTTCTGGCAGCTGTGTCAATACCTAGTTGCTTGAGCATTTTTTGGTGGTTGGTGTATTTATCTACTAGGTTTTCCGTGTTTTTCTCGGGTGTTGTTTCAATGGTGGTGGCTTTGTGCCCTTACAGTCTTATGACCAACAACCCGTTCGCAAGATTTTTGTTGTGAGTATCTACCACCACACCTTGAAAAGTTTGAACTTAGCGAGACTCAAGAAAACGCGCCTAGCAGGTCCTGCAAGCTGTTTTCAATTCGGAAAAAACATACGCGCAAGGCGCAAGGTGTTTATTCTTTAAGTCATGAGTTTAATGAGTTGCATAGGAGTTGCATGGCCACTGCTGCCGCCATTTTTGTTCAGCGCAGCACGAGTCTCCGTGTCCAGCAACTTGTGGGCCATGCTGCGCCTCTCCGTGAAACGCTTGGGACTGCGGCCGGCACGGCCATTGCTTGCAACCGTGGCTGGCCATGGGCAACGTATGAGGACGATCCTAGATGTGGGGAGATGGCAGCATGATAGATAGGCTATAGGATTTACATATACATATACATGTATATATATATAGAATCATATACAACCATACATATACATATATATATATATAACGTGTGTGTGCAAAATTTTTATACATAGATGTGCGTGTTTGTGTGTGCAGGTGCGTTTTTGTGCATTCTTACATGCATGTACTCTAGACTTTCATATTGGAATGATATCAAGAAACATTGGCTTCACAGTCCTCGCATTTGCAACTTAAGTAGCAACGCGCGACCACTTTACAGACAAATGAATACAAATGGCTTCTGTCCATGTCGCAGGAAGCAGTCCTTCGGCTACGGCGACCATGCCCCGCCCGATGCGCCGGGCTTCGGTGGTGAGCATCAGCAGTACCCACCAGAGACCGTGGGCAACACGGTGAAGTACATCTCCGAGAACATGACCAACCCACCCAAATATAAGGAGATGGCTGGTGGGTGGGGTTGAGCATCCCTATGGCATCGTGCAACAAAAATGGGCGAAACAGTCATCCTTATGAATCTAGATGGATATACAACAGTATATACTGTAACCATAGTAACAGGGAATAATAGGGACTAATTATATCCCAATTTACGGGTTATATTCAATATATGTCAAAGTATTCTCATTACCCGCTGGTAAACTAACATAACTATGGAAAATCACCATGCTATTAATGGGTAAATCAACTATTTCGACTGGGCCATGTTCCAGTTTGGTTTTTGTATGTTTACCAGGCCGGGTATATCCCAATTTATGGGGCATATTCAATATCCCATTGTTTTTTAATAATATCCCAATAACACCCATATAAGAAAGGTTATATTAATTATATCCCAATTTATGGCTGTTATAACCCTTGTTATTTTCGACATCCGGTAACCTGCACCCAGCAGGAGATCATTGAAGGAATTGGCTACCCTGGGCAGAAGAACTCGCATGGTGGTTTGTGCACCCTGGGCCGCATCTACTACGGCCCGGGCCGTTACGACTATGGCCGCCCCAAGATGCCCAAGGGATGGGTTGCCAACTTTTTCTATCCTCTCTGGGAGTTCGGCTTCTTGAAAGCATTTTGGAACGTTGAATCCACACTTGATAGATCTTGATAGGCATGCAGATTAGCCACATCATGGTGCATCAACAATATGTTTTCATGCAAGAGTGCCTAAAAGGATAGATGCATATGATGCATATGCAACTGGCACGTTTACTCTAGTTAGTTGTTTTTAGTTGCTCTTGACTTGGGTGATTGTGTGCAACAAACTCAGCATCTAAGCAAAGCAAGGAGTATCAAGTAGCCGAGCAAACCGCTGAGGCCACATCTTCTTTGTTGCCGATCGTTGGCTGGCGTGGCGTGCCCTTCGTCACATCTTGGCCATCACCATTTGCTTCATCCCAATGAACATCCACATGCATTGGAACGCCCGGATGATGGAGGATTACAAGAAGACACACGAGTGGTGAGAGGATTGGCCCACTACAAATGGCACAAGGCTGCCCCAGACCGGCATCACAACCCTAGAATCGTGAGACAACATAATGGATTCCCAAAGAAAAATCATCCAGAAAACAGATCTCAGCTTTGCCTCCGATTTGGCATATACTTATGGGGCATGCCTGTGCAGTTCGCTTCGGATGCTACAAAGTTTCAAAGAGAGGCTGCTGTCTCTCCCAAAAGGTGCGAACAAAAATTCCTGCGACCGGAAGTCGTCAGATGCTTCCTTCCAGCCCGGATATTGCCATGGTCATATGACCAACTGAACTTGAATGCCTTGAACTTTGGATTTGAGTGGGTCAAAAAGAATATAAACAGGATTAAAGATGTTCGCCCCAAAAAAAATGGATGGTCTTCTTTAGTCAAGATATCGAAACTATCTAAACATGAGCAATTTTATAGGCCCATTGGTGCCCCATGTTTAATGTTTGACACCCATTTGTTTCAACCGGCCAAGTCCTGACGATATGGCTCCTTGGCTCAAGGGCAAAAGTCATCCGCTTTGGCGGACCTCCTAAACAGGAGGACGTCTTTACAGCCTGACAGAGGCTGAGAACTCATGGCCAGCCCCCTGGATAGATTTTGGCACTTTTTGACTAGAATCCCTGCTGTTTCTCCATGTTTATGGTTAAATCATCTCAAAATCCAGCATTTTTATCCATTTTTCCTTGCCATCCTTCATTTCATTCTTTATCCCCACATGTTTTGTTTCCTAGAAAAAAACCGCTGAAATCCCACCATTTTCCCATCTCTTCCTGCTGAGTTCACCCTGATCCCAGGGTCCCCGCTGATTTCGAGGCACGCTGAGCACGCTGGACATCTCCAACCTGGGCAGCTCAGAGGAGCGCATCGCGGCAAGAAGAGCGCGAGCCGAAACCAAGCTGAAACAGGATAAGGAGGAGGCTGGAGGGCTGGGCTGGGCGATTTCGTGGGGATATACATCATAGAGTTTCATCTATCATTTTTCAAGATGGGCACATTGCACCACCAACCAGATTGGGTGGGGATATAATGGGTATATTATATTAATCATCCCCATGATGATTATCCATTATTTATCAACTATTAATCAACTATTATTAATTATGGGTTGACAAGGAGGAGGCACCATGGGACTAGGTCAATCTTGGATGGAATCAATGGGATTATCTACTTTCACCAGCTAAGATTTTGTTGCAGGGTATCTGGCTGATTGGCCATGGGGAATGGCTGGGATATATTGGGGAAGATGAATATTAATAGGATACAATAGGGATGATATGGCATGATATAGTTCATATAGTTGATGCTAAATTGTAAGGAACTAGGTAGGAGGAGGCACATGGAGGGGATGGCTGCGTATATACCCTCTGGTAAACATACAGTTAAACTATGGAAAATCCCAACTTTTGATGGCTAAATCAACTATAGTTGATGGATGGCCTGAGCCAAAACACGCTGCGTGCGGACCCACGACCCTGCACGCTCACGGGCTAGGATGCCCTCTGGTAAACATACAAAAAACTATGGAAAAGCATCATTTTTTATGGCTAAATCAACTATCAATGGCAATGTTCAATAGCTATGTTAAACTACCAATGGGTATCGGGGATGATGAATATATCATCTTATATACTCCCGATATTCCCAAGTATATGAGGAACCGATAGGAAAATAATGAAAAAGATAATAAATAGGGATGATATGAGCTGAGATAGTTAATTAAATATGATTCTGGTTGGTGGTTTGGAACATGAATTTTATTTTCCATTTCATACATGGGATGTCATCCTTCCCGTTGACGAACAAAAATATTTTTCAAGATGGGCACATTGCACCACCAGGATTGATGGGGACAAGGAAGAGGGACTGGCTGGATCTTGGTAATTTAATCCACTTGATTTTTTGGGTTGATCATGATGATTACCCTCTGGTAATTTGTCACAGTTTGCGAACTGGAAAATGACCATAGAAATAGTTGATTTACCCATCAAAATATGGTGATTTTCCATAGTTATGTTAGTTTACCAGAGGGTATCATCCACGCAAAATGGTGATTATTTAAGGGCTATTCTGCTAGAGTGGGAAAACCAACCAATATTGATAATTTTCTGGAACTTTTGAGTGATAGAACCAGGAACATTTGGGAATAAAGTTGATGAATGATGGTTCATGGGGATTGTACCGGTGATCTGAATGACATTTTACTTGAGGAACCCACCAATATTGAGGTTTCAGCAGTAAATTAACCACTGGGACGTTGGTACGTTGACAAGGAAGAAGTCAGCAGTAAAAACCCGTGATGCCTAAAAGAAGACGATTTAAGTCATGAACATGAAGATGGTTCATATACCTCATGCTGATTCAACATGTTCACAGGTGAAAATTGTTTTTTCCTGACATTTTTGGTAGGAATATCACATCTGAAGCAGCAAAATGGTGATGTTCATGGACGGTTCAACCCCAACAGGATGAGGTCAGATGAATCTGGATTTGTTGCCTCGGGATTGGTAAACCATATGAATTTCTGGCTCTTGGATTGGTTCAAGCAACATATTACAACAACCATATTGTTCTTGAGCCATCAAGAAATATTCAAGTTATCCATTCAAACAAGGAGTTTGCGCATCAAAATATGTTGATAGGGCTTGGTACCGGTAAATGTCCCAAGAACCCTGTGTCAATGGATTGGTTTAAGGGAAAATCTACAGGAAACCATGGTTTTTTACCATCAAATATAGGTCTTTCCTGTAAATTTCCCCATCATCCAATTCTATGACTGTGGATTGTTTCGGCAACTGTTTGCCAGGCGGAAGGCAAGAAGACCAAAAAAGACGATGCAGCCGAACAGGCGACGTCGCGGTGAATGTATGGTGAATGTATGGGGTGACTATCCCGAAATAGCCGTAGTTCAGGTTAGAGAAATACCATCATTTTCTTACTGGTGCTAAACGTAGGGAATTTTCGGGAATGATCCGCTGGCTAACTATCAATAATCATCCCAGCAACCCCCAGCAACCCATCCATTCCCTACGTTTAGCACCAGTAAGTTTACCCGGAGAAATGGATATAAACAGCAATGATGATGGTAAAACCATGCGAGTCTTGGCTGATGTTCCAAGAAATTTGACAAAATGGAAGGAAATTATAACATATTATAACCCATCCTCCAAGCTGATCAGATTGCATCCAGTCGTTAGGGAGCCAGGGAGCGATTGGGGTATGAATATATTCCCTATTTTTCATGGGGAGCCAGTTGGAGCTACGAATGGAGCTTCCCAACCCATCTATATAATAAGGGTTTAATGGATATTATATAATATTATATAATGGGAGTTTTGCCGGGATTTATATATTGGATATTTGATGTATGTATATATATATTTATTTATTTATATATTAATATATATATATATATGTTTATTTATTTATTTATCTATATTTATATATATATTTATATATCCGTGTGTGTGTGTGACTTCATTCTTCAAGCGGCATTCCTCGAATTGGATCAGGGAGAAGCAGGAAAATTGTGAGCATGGAAGTCACATGACTCAGCATGCACCCCCCAAAAAGCAATGAGGGAATAGGAGAATTGGATATGGCTATGCATGTTTTACTTCCATGTTAAATCCAGATGGAAAGAAAAAAATCTCCCCAAGCATTGGACTGGTTCAAGGGAAAATGTACAGGAAACCCCAAGCAATTCGATGGGGAAAAGCATGGTTTCTGGTGAGGATACAGGGGCTGGTAAATGTCCTAATTTAATATCAACAAAGTATGTGAGATATTTCATCTCCACGGCTTTTCATGTGTTCAAAATTTTCAAACATGGAACAGCAATGGAACAGCAAAATCCTCAACCCCTGAGACTCCTGAGATCCCGAAACCGCTTCATTGATCCAAGCGTTTTCCGGCACGTTTGACTCAGCTCCTTCCCGTGAATTTCTTTGCTCAGTCGGGACTCGTCCCCACTCTTTTCCTTGTCCTCTCAAGCGGCTGGTGGGAGGTTTAACCATCAGGATTTCATGGCATTTTCCCATTTAATCCTTTAGTCTTTTGGTATGAATGGGATTATCTACTGCCCAGCTAAGAATTTAATTATTGTTTGCAGGGTATCTAAGATTGGCCATGCCTACAAATGACGAATTTTCTATTGCCATGTTTGATTACCAGAGAGTAGTTTGAATTCTCCTTTCAATTGAGATGGTCGAAAATGACGTTCATATGTTTAAGGTGGATTTAAGGTGGCTGAATCACCAGTCAACTGCCCATATTTGCCGTTGTTTTCATATCAACCCATTAACACTTGATTTGCCAACAACGCAGTACCCAAAAGTCCATGTTTGATCACCAGAGGCTAGGAAACTCCCCCAAGCCACAGCCGCGGCTGTGCATCCTGCTTAGTGGCCAATATCCCATAACTGGAATAAATCGCGTATTGATTCTTATATGGCTCTTATTTATGGTTTCTGATTTTTGGGCTTGTAAATTTCCAGGATTTATGGCATTTCATCCTATAGAAAGCCACATGACCTCATCACCAACCCCCATCTTGTCCCATTTTCCCATACCCCCACGTCTTTTTTCACCACTTCCATGGTCAATGGGAATTCCGGGATCCTAAAATGGAGGTACTGTACTATGTGGGGCCATATTTTGTGGTGATATTCCCTGAAATTTAGGCCTGAAAAATAGGCCTTAAAAAATGGAATCGGTACCTCGAATAAATCGATCCCTGGAATTCCCATTGATCCATGGCCTGGTGACAGGTGTCCCTGGGCAAAGAGCAGTACGGCACGTCGCTGGCGGAGCTGGAACGCTTCCGCACGGAGTCCTGGGACGAGTTGACGTCGATCCTGGTGCGCTTCGATGACCAGGAGAACCAGCGGAGGATCGTGGAGGAGAACAACCGCTTGGAGCCATGGCGACGTGAAAAAGATGGGAAAATCATGGGAAAATACACTACAAATGGAGGAATTATCCATTCAACTGGTATTTTAGATGGTGATTTTAATGGGAATTCACCAAACCAAAATGGATGTATTAATAGGAATTACCCTCTGGTAAACTAACAGTTTGCTATTGAAAATGGATGATTTATAGTTGAATTACCCATCAAAATATGGTGATATTCCATAGTTTTTTGTATTTTTACCAGAGGGTACAAACGATGTGAACCACTGATGTTGGGGATATGTTTAACATGAACCCCAAACTGAAAGCTGGTTGTTACAATTCTTTGCAGCGAATTCAGCCACAAAAGGGGGTTTTATGATGTTTTATGATGATGAATGGGAATTGGGAAGCTGAATGAAGTTGATGTGTCGATGAATTCAAGAGGATTTGAGCTGTTAAACATAGGGTGATGTTCGATAATTCCTGAAATTTCCGGAGGATATACAAATACCCTCCGGTAAACATACAAAAAGTTATCGAAAATTGCCATTTATGGTGGATTTACCCATGAAAAATAGTGATTTTCCATAGTATAAGTTATGTTAGTTTACCAGAGGGTACAAATATATATAGAAATGGATTGTTGTGGTGGTCGTTGATGATAATGTTGTTAAATGATTGCTTTTTGCTGTGGGTGTTATGTCTTCATTCTTGATGACTGGTTGATGTAGATTCATTTGGTGAGGATTTTCGATGTTGATTTCAGTGGCACGGGTGGTGTCTTATGCAGGTTTCCGAAATTGGTACCCCAAAATCATCCAAGTCAGTGCTTATTTCAATGGGAATTTCAGGATCCTAAAATGGAGGTACTGTACCATATAAGGCCATATTTTGGGGGTGTATCATATCCCCTTACATAGGCCTTACATAGGCCTTACATAGGCCTTATATATAGTAGGTACCTCCAATTTAGGTTCCTGAAATGGCCATTGAATATTCTCAGTGCGACAAGCGATGTGGGATACCCTCTGGTAAACTAACATCACTCTGGACAATCACCATGTTTGATAAGTAAATCAACTATAAATAGCCATTTTCAATAGCTACAGGTATGTTAGTTTACCAGAGGGTACCCATATTGTTTTAGGATTTCCATGGGTGTCCCCTTTTGGGTGTTGATTGTACGTCCCCATCTTCACCCAACCCTGGGGGTCCGCGAAATTCTGCAGCAAAGTAGTCGTGAATGAAATCTCCAAAAAGAGTTTCCAAAGAAGTTCTAGTATCAGGTGATACTGATCATAAAGCATCATGAAGCAATAATGTTCCTAAAATGCATTAATATCAAGTTGGGAGGCAAATAATTAATCCATGTAGCGCACTGGAAAATCACAATGTTTAGCAGGTAAATATCGGTAAATCATCATAAATTATATGTGTAAATATTGAATATGGGATTTTCCATAGCATATATAGCTAGTTAAATAAACAGAGGGTAATTTTCTCCAGATCGGGCTATCTGCTGGATTTCCAAGGGAAAGTCTTGAAGTGTCATGGCCCATGAATCGCGTTTATCCAAGGACCGCTACGAAGCCTTACAGATTGAGGCTGTGACGAGTGGTCGAAAGAATGCCGCCATTGAGATGAAATGGGCCGATCTTTTGAATATGGATATCCCTCAGGAGCTCAACGACCAGCTGCAGTTTCAGAAAAGCGCTTGCCGGCAGATCATTGACTCGAAGGATCCGTGGCTGGAAAATCCAGTACTTCTATGATGTTCCCAGCAAACGAAACTTCTATTTATAAGGCATTTCCTAGCCAGCAACGTTTGATTGCCAGAGGGACATTCTCTTTGGCAAATACCTGAAACAAATAGAAGAAATTGTTAATCTGGGTAAATTACAATATTTCACTAACCTGAATAGTTGGGCCATTTGGGGATGATTCCCCTAACTTTCACCATGATTCCAGGCTTCGGGAGAATAGGGTTCGGTCGTGATGAAATTTACCCAGCTTAATCATAGATCTTGGATGGTTGATGGTTGGACCCAGGATCGGCGCATTGAAGACTTCAAGACGGAGTTGAAGAACAAGGATGAAGAGTACATCAAGATGCTGAAACAGCAGAGGGTGGACATCACCACTTTGATCTCCAAGATGCGTGAGCAATACCATTCTCTCAGGCAGCATTATGAACAGCAGTTGGAGGAGATTGAGCAAGCCTTTGAGGAAGAGCGAAAAGAGATGCTCCAGAAGAATAAGGCCCGATTTTCCATACCAGTAAACTCACATTGCTAGTGAAAATGGTCATTTATAGTTGATTTACCTATTAAAAAGTTTGCTTTTCCATTCTTATGTTAGGCTACCAGAGGGTAAGTGGTACCACCCCCCTGTGGAAGCGGAACAACCGAAGAACGGATGGTTTTGGTTCGGGAGCCGTAGATTTCCGTGAAGAACTGCCAATGCTTTGCCAAGAGGATGTATAGGGAAGCTCCTTCATGCGCACATGGGATCATCACCATTTGGGCATGGTTAAATCATTGGACCCCCAAAAAAAAATACATGGCTGGTTGGTAGTTTGGAACATGATTTTTTCCATATATATATATATTGGGAATAATGATCCCAACTGATGAACTCAGATTTTTCAGAGGGGGTAGGTATACCACCAACCAGTATGTGTGGTATTAATTTATGACCATCGCGGATCGTTTGTCGAATCAGAATTTTGGGAGTGTCAAATCCGCACAACGTACGAAGGAAAATTCGCACAACGCAAGACGGAAAAATTGCAACATCCAAAAGGAACATAAATCGTTTTCCACAATGTATTGTTTGGGTTCCATGTTAGATTCAAAATGCGGGACCCAATGTTCTTTCCATGATTTCCTCCGTCAAAATGCCGACCAATGTAGATGATAACTTGGAGTCAAGTGTATTTTAGGAAACCTCCAGAGCCAAATTTGGGGCGTGTTGTGGGTACTTTGATGTGCATCCCAGTTTCCAAGTGGCTACCAACCACACGCATATTATGTGTATATATACATATATATATATATTATATATATATACATATAATCCAGTTGTACCTCGGTTATAATATATATATATATTTATTTATTTATTACATAAATGGATTATGTGGATTATGAACCCCAAGTGCTCCAATTCCAAGCCAGTTCCACTTCAGCTTTGGAATCCGGGCTTATGCATGGATTCCACCAGGGTTGTATTAGCGGGTTATTATATAACCACTAACAAGAAAAACAACCCTCAAGCCGGGCTGATGCATGGATTCCACCAGGGTTATAAGCGGCTTATTATATAACCACTAACTATATACAAGCCAGGTATAACTACAATGGATTCATAGTCACTCATGGTTATCCTTGATTGATCATTATTATTCATGTACCTTTCTAAATCCATTTGGAGGTTTCCAAGCCATAGGGGTACCCCAGTTCTCATCCAATGACACTCAACCATAGATTGAAACCAACAAGGTGACGACTGAGGATCCAGCATTTTAGGAAGCCACCATATAACAGTAATTGAGAGTGACTTTAGGTCTCTTTTTCATGGCTATACAATGGAAATTCATAGGGACTTCATGGGATCTTTGCGCCATGGATCTTCGACAGGTAAACATTCACGGAAGCCCCGTACGGCATTGCGCCATGCTGCGCCAGGCTGAGATCGAAGCACTCTTCGAGATGCGTCAGCTCATGGAGCAGCAGGAGTTTCTCGAACGTCGCCAGGACGATTCTGGGGAAGGGGATGTGCCATGGTCGTTCAACGTGTTAAAAAAACATAATAAGAAGGTTCATGTTTTCAATGGAATAATATTTAATCTTCAATTGATGTTCCTTCCCAAAAAAAAAATCAAATCCTTTTTCTTTGGAATTCCATGATGGGATTACCTCCTCCAGGTGTTTGTTTTGGGCCGGTTGGCACAGATTAACTATGGTTAACTATGGTCTATGGATAGTTAATCCTTAACCATAGTTAATATATCATAATATGGCTGAACTGTGGTTAACTATGGTTAACTATGGTTATTATGATATTTCTCATGTTTCGATATATCATGATTCTATATAGTTCATGTGGTTTATTTTTCGCAACTTATAGCTCGGGGGCACCACCTTGTTATACTAATCCCATCCCCCTCATATGAAGCAACCAGAAACCATGGTATACTCAATGGCCATGACTCAGGAACCAATTTATTGGAGGTACCTACCATATATAAGGCCTATGTAAGGGCTATTTAAGGGGATATATCCCCCAAAAATGGCCTTATATGGTACAGTACCTCTGTTTTAGGATCCTGGAATTCCCATTGATATACATAATTTAGAGGGGGTTAATAGAAGGCTGGAAGAGATCAGCAACCCCCGAAAAGATGGTTTCAAGATGTTTCAAGGAAATCTTTCTGTCCGGCGTTTCGGCATTTTAGCAAGAGCCAAGCTATTGTTGTATCCATATTCCTTTTGTTTTGGTCACTGGGGAGCACATGCAGGAGCTACTTAGAGTTTCCATGAGTTTCCCAACCACGTGATAGTCAGAACAAATAGAAGAACTTCACGCTTAGATGCGTGTTTTTCTGATAGATGCCTGGTGCTAAAACATCGAACAGGCATCAGTTTTACCCTCTCGCTTGGTCTTTCGTGGATTCCGTGCAGATGGACCCGTAGTCCAAAGGGCCTTGCCTGTTCAAGTTTCACCGGGTGCTATCCACAGATTTCGCGAAATCGGCATCCTGATAGAGAATACATGCCACACTCCAATGTCTATCCTAATATGCCCCATCAACATTGCGCTTGGGGGCAGTTCTTACGCTTGCACACCCAATTTGCGGTGGTTAAATGTTCATGCTATCTCAGTTTCTCCCATTGTTTAGTGTTTAGATGTCCATTTTATCCCCATTCTTCTTATGTGGTAAACTATCCATTTTCCATGATTTTCTATTGTAAATCCATACATTTCCATCATAAATCCATCAGTTCACCAGCCATTTTGAAGGTTTGCCCAGCCTCTCAACGGCCAGGAGCGGGAACGTGGCTTCCAGCAACAGATCGAGGAGCTGCGAACCGACAACGCGGACGGCTACAACAAGTGCAAGATCGCCTTGGAGAAAGGCATCCAGGAGCGCAGCCAAGATGATTTTCACATATTTTAACTAGAGATCACTAAATGGATTTCTAAATGGAAAGTGGGAAAATCTATGTTTTTGAGGGGGAAAATGATAGCTAATGATAGCACAGATGTCCCACATTCCCGTTGGTTGATTAATAGAACGAGGGGGTTGAACGTTTACCAACCCCTTTAACAAGGTCCAGGAGCTGGGCATCCTGAGGTTACCATGGCTTTTGATGGCCAAGAAATCGTGGCTTTTGATAGGATGGCATATTAATGATTAATACCCATAGGATCCATGGTGCTGGTATATATGCTAACATTGGGGGTATATTGATGGTAAATGTTACCATATGTATATAGCATACATGGATCCTATGGGATATAATAATGTAGATATTATGATACATGATAGATTTGTTCATAGATAACATCCTGAGTTTTAATAGATAATTAGTATGATAATAGATCAACCATCTAATAGATAATGATAGGATAATGTAGGTAAAGTAATTTCATAAACCATCCCCCAGTTATCACCATAAATAGGTTTTATAGGACGGTATATGAATGATAGGCATATATATTATTACACATATATTAATAGATAATAACACATGGTAAATTAATGCATCCTGAGGTTTTGATCTCAAAAACTGTGGAGGGAAAAAACCTATCCAGTGGTGAATGGAGCGAGCTAGGGAGCGAGCGATGGGGGTATGAATATATTTCAGTTTTTTCACGGGGAGCCAGTTGGAGCTACGATAATATGACACATGATTCATATACATTTAAGATGCCCAGTGTGGTGTATCTCATTATTTTATTTTTCACAATTATGGTAACATTAAATGGGAACATCGTGGAATAGTAATAGGTAATATGGAATAGATTGTACGCTAATGATGGGATATTGGTGGAGATTTTATGGAAGATGAATAGGAATATAATGGAGTTGCACTTATGCCCATTTGATACCCCGAAACAACGAAACAGGATACTCACGGAATATTAACACAATATTAACGAGATATAAATGCAACACTAACACATCCCGGATCTTATCCCACAAGAAAAAAAGGTGATATGAATGGGATTCAATAGCTATGTTCATTTATTGGAGGATGGAGGATGGCAGAGGGCTGAGAGCGGAATGGGATATCATCAATAGAAATTTAGAATATAACTGGCATGGGACAATTAAACACTGGTTGGTGGTGACTGGAACCATGGATTTTTTATGACTTTCCAGAAACAGTTGGGAACGACTCATCATCCCAACTGACGAACTCACTCCATCATTTTTCAGAGGGGTTGGTAGGTATACCACCAACCAGAACATGAAATCCCCATTCATAATCCCTATAAAATCCCTATACAATCACATATTCCCATTATTCCCTATAGTCCCTAGCTGGGCATCCCAGAAAACAATGGGATTCAATGAAGTTTTTCATGGGATATTTTCATGGGATTTTTTCATGGGAGAATCCCAATGGATAACACATTTTGTGTTGGTGAGCCAACGGGCCAACCCCTTTACCGGTTTTACCGTAAAGATAGGAATGCGAAACGCAAGAGATGAGGCGAAAAAAACAAGCAAAATAGAGAGGTACCCTCCAGTAAAGTATTATAGCTGCGGAAATTGCTGATCTTGTTGATTTTCCAGTTCGCAAAGTGATAGTTTACCATAGATTTGATTTAATCATTTTAATCATCAAACATTTGACCATAATTAACTACGATATTTGATCATCTTTGACTAGGAAAGGGGAGGTGGAACCGAAAAATCTGGGGAGCCGGCTGGGTTGACCGGCTCGATGAGAGGGATGTTGCCCTGGGGAATGCCATTCTTTACCAATGATGTTCCTAGTTGGTGGTTTGGAACATGAATTGTATTTGTCCATATATTGGGAACAATAATCCCATTTGACTAATATGTTTCACAGGGGTTGAAACCACCAACCAGTTTTCGAATGAACATGAGTACGCTCACTGTCAGTTGATAGTAAAAAAAACACTGGAAAAGCCCATGACCATGTTCAGCAAGGAGCTCGAACAGCACTTGGAAAAGATGCTGGCCACCTATTTGCTCAACAAGGACTGCTGCGAGAGTTGCCCTCAGTTTGAGGCTATGGAAGCCATGGACGACTTTAACGTTAGATGTCCATATTCCAGTTTGCAAACTGTTCAACTACCAGATGTTATTGTGTTTTCACATGTTTTTACCACATCTGTGATGTGAATCCAATATATATCCGGTGAATCAGGCAAAAAAAAACAGCAGCTACCAATATATATATATATATCCGGTGAATCCAATATATATCCAATCTCTATCAGCTGCACTTTTTTCGCAGGAGAAGTTAGAATACAACTTGCAGGTTCTCTCGGAGAGGAACAAGGAACACACCGCCATTCAGTCCTCCTACAAGAACCGTCTGAATCGACTTAGGGAGACCTTGAACATGTTGATGAGCCGTTACAACACCTTGGATCAGCCGCCCGGTGAAGGAAATATGTAGATAATTTAAGGTGAAGTCACAACGGGGGAGTTTTGACGAAACTAGTATTCGTGGGGCTTTTAAACCCCAGTTATAAATGGGATAAGTAGGGTTAATCCACTTATAACTGGGGTTATAACCCACTTACTAAGTGAGATGAGCCATCAAGTAACTTCTAGCCTTGATTTGGGATGATTTGGGTTTTTCCCGAAATCCACCAAAAATGGCATCTTCATTCCGGGAATCTCAAGACGATGGTGTCCCTTTGTTCAACAGCCAAGGAAGTACAAGACGCACAACCACGAGCTGACCGAAGAGTACAAACGGGTCACCAAGCAGTTCAAGGATTTACAGGTTCGCCTTGCAGGGCCGTAGTTTCCACCGTTTTTTTTTTACAGACCTTGGTGGATGTGGGATATCACCAAGTGACTTCATTCCAAGGTCAGGGCTGGTTCATACCCTCTGGTAAACCTACAAAAAGCTATTGAAAATTGCCATTTATAGTGGATTTTCCCATTAAAAATAGTGATTTTCCATTGCTATGTTAGTTAACCAGGGGGTACCTGACTTCACATTCTGATAGCTTCAAAGCACCTACCCTCCAGTCAACTAACAGTTTGCCATGGAAAATGAACCATTTATAGGTGGTTTACCTGTTAAAATTCTGATTTTTCCCATAGCTATGTCGAATTACCAGAGGGTGTCAGATACCAATGTTATGCGGCTGACGTCAGCCATAGCCCTCATGATCTCCGCGTTTGTGGCTCAACTCTCCCCGTTTTAAGAGCCCCTCAGTTATGTTTGTTGGTTGAGAGAATCCCATCAAGTATAGTACAGTAAGTAGTTCAATATATCATGATTTATCAGAAACCATAGTTGATTCACCTGGCAGCCTGGTGAACCTTTAACCCAATTGTAGATATATCACGGAATAAGTTGCTGTAAACGGTAGGTATATCTACAATAAATCACGGGCGGTATATCTACCATTAAGCACACAACAACCAGAAACCATAATTCTATAATTCACCTAAGTCAAAAAAACACAGAAAAAATATATACCAACCATAAGCCATAGTCAATCCTAGTTATTTATACATATATAATATAATATAATATAATATGATATAATATAATATAATATGATATAATATAATATAATACAATATAATGTAATATAATATAATATAATAGACTATAATATAATATAATATAATACAATATAATGTAATATAATATAATATAATAGACTATAATATAATATAATATAATATATATATATATATAGAGATACATATATATATATATATGTTAACTTGGCTAACCCGCTCCATCCCTCCCAGCCAGGAAAAGTTTCAGCACTTCGAGCAGGCGGACGAGAAGAAGTTCCGGGAGGTTTGGGAGATGAACGAAGCCGAAGTGCGCGGCTTGATGACCAAAGTGCTAGAGGCGAAACGGGTTCGATGTGATTGAACGATGCGACGATGCGTTTGAACGAAACGGGGATGGGAAGGGATCATGAAGAGATCCAAAAGGGAATTGAAGAGGAATTTCATGGGATATTTCATGGGATATTTCATACATATTTCATAAATATTCCATGGTTTTCATGGGCATGTACTCCGGTTCCATGGGAATTTCCATGGTTTTCATGGCTGGTTGGGGATCACCAGGAGTTAAGCCCTTTCACAATGGGATTACCCTCTGGTAAACGTTTACATAGCTATGGAAAATCACCATGTTTAATGGGTAAATTAACTATAAATAACCATTTTTCACGATAGTTATATAATTATAGTGATAATAGTTATATATAGCTATAATAGTTATAATTGTAATTTCAATATTTTAATATAGCCATATTAGTTAACTATAATTTAAACAATTCTCGCTGGGGCAAATTATAGTGATCGCGCTGCGACCCTCACTGGAAGAATGGTTGGGATTAAACTGGAATTATCCCAATATAGCCCTTACTTCAGGTTAGTGAATAATTACCCCTGGGCAAACTAACATAGATGTGGAAAACCCATGGTTGATTTTGCCCAGGGGTGCAATTTGCCCAGATTTACAACTATAACTGCACCCACAATGTTTGTTTACAATGAATATTGTGGGATATGAACAGTAGATCCCATAGGGTATAAATGTACATCCGCATACTGTATTAGACGGTATTGTTATATCGAATATTGGGATTAATTCTCAATGGGTACATAGTTGGCGCTAATTTTGTGAAAAAATGTGGATATCACTGCGTTGAATTCAATGGATTCAGTTACTGAAACTGACTGGTCACTTGAGCTATCCGACTATCCCCCTCCAACTCTCCAACCTGGTGTCAGGCAGATCGGCTCCTGCACGAACAACAGCTGGGCCACGAATGGGTCCCTCCCAAGGAGGAATTGCTGCAGCAGGAACTGGACACCTTTTCCGAGAGTGGCACCACCACTGGGAAGAGCACCGCCCTGGAGTCTGCTGACATGGGACAGTCCGACTCCGGCAAGTTCTCAGCAACCAAGGTCTTTGAGTCGAAATGGTAAAAATCTGGTACCCTCTGGTAAACGTTTACATAACTATGGAAAATCACAATTTTTAATGGGAAAACTCACTATAAATGGCCATGTTCAATAGTTCTTTTGTAGGTTTACCAGAGGGTAAACGACCAGTTAAAACTATGGAAAATCATGGAAAATCACCATCTTTGATTTCGGTCAATCAAGGAACTAACTGGGCCATGGCTTCAATAGCTATGTTAAATTAAGAGAGGGGATGGGGTTGGTGAAAATGTGATCGTAATCCCATCCCCATAGTATTAGATACCCCCTAAATGGTCCCAAATATGTGTAAATCCTCTACTAAGCTATGGTTTCCGGGGGGTGTTGAATAGGAAAGGGGACAGAGATTCATCTACCTGGTTGATTGGAACTCATGACATCACCTATGTTAATTTCCAAATATCATCAAAGATCAACATGCTTCCTCTTTAAGACAAAAAAATCAGGCCGGGTTTTTTAGATCTTCCGCCAGGTGAAAAAGGTCCTGGATCTGATCAAGGATGAGACTCAGTTTCTGCTGGATATGAAGGTCCGCGATCAGCTTGCAGAACTTCCACCGGAGCAGCGTGATGTGCTGCAGATCGATGCCTTGCTCCGTTACATCGGTGTCCTGGATGGAAATCCCTTCATGGAATTCTGTTGTGAAACAAGTCAAAGAAGGCCGAATGGAAATCAACCAATAAATTGCTGGATATATTCATCTAGATTTTGTATTATACATATATATATATATTTATTTATTTATTATTTTTATTTATTTATGTGTATATATATATATGTATATATATATATATGTGTGCGTGTGTGTCTCTCATTTTGATTGTCTCATGATATGTCCAAGTTGCGCAAATTTTCACCAAGGAGTGGAGGGTCAGCAGGACGTGGATCTCTTGGTGCAGGTCTTCTACAACGGGCAGGAGGAAGATGACGAGGCTTTGATGGTGGAGCCAGATGACGTGCTGCAGCATCTGAAGAACTTTATCCAGGTGGGGCACCCATGGTGGGGCACCCATGGGCACCGGTGATGGGCTGATATTTCGCTGGTTGTGGGAAATCAGATGGAACATCTGTTTTTAGTTGGCTATTTGGTGGTTGGGGAGCATTCTATTCTATTCCCATGAAATTCCCATGAAATTACAGGAAATTCCATGAAATCCCTATTTGTTGATGCTTAAAACCTCCCATTTTTTGGATCCTTTGTCAAAAATCAGGAGAAGGAGAACGCCCGCATCGCCGACGTTGCCCCGGACAAGAAGAAGAAGGCCCGCACGCAGCAGCTGGGCTCGGAGAGTGAGGCGGACCGTAAAGCGCGCCGCCGCCGCGAGGAACCTCGGAGAGCACACGGGTTGCTGGGTAGGCTGGGGTACCCTGGTCCTCGGGGGATGGAAACCGTGTGGCCCATAGATGAGAAACATGGATAAACATGATGATTTACCAGTGTTAATGGGCTTGAAACATGTTGAAACCAGAAGTCAATTAGATTGAGGATGTATTAGTGATAGTAGCAGAAGGCTCGAACTTGCTACTTTTTTTCTGATTTTTGTTTGGTGAGGTACCCTACAAAGACTGCGAAAATATGTTTGAACATGTGTATGAGTTTCTTGCTACCCTCTGGTAATTTAACATAGCTATTGAAAATCACCATTTATAGTGAATTTTCCCATGAATAGCATGGTGATTTTCCATAGCTATGTTAGTTTACCAGAGGGTAGTTTTGCTCTGGTGTTTCTGACTTTCCTCCATTTTGCCAGTCATATCCATTTTAAAGAACCTGTGGCTCGAATCGGTGGCCATTTCCGGAACCTAGGGCATTTATGGCCCAAAATATGCTACAGTACCTCCATTTTAGGATCCATTTTTTAGACATTACCATCTGGTTATGACTAACAGTTCGCCATGGAAAATCACCATTTTTAAGAACGGTAAACCATCTATTTCGATTAGGGCCATGGCTTCCATGGCAAACTGCAACAAATAACCAGAGGGTATATCTCTAACCACCACCAACTAGTAATTATTATTAACCATCATGAACCATATAATGACCATCATCATTAACCATTATTTACAGTATATTAACAACATATAGTGTATTTTCCCATGTGTTTTCCCATGATTTTCCTATGATTTGAATGATTACCAGAGGATATATCCCATCACCATGTTCTAGGAACGCAAGTTCTGGGAACGCATGGGCCACGTGATCCCCGACATGAACTTCCGCGTGTGGAAAGCCCTGGACCTCTTCCTGAAGCGCTACTACGAGCCTGGTTGGTGGTTTGGAGCATTTTTTATCTTTCCATTCAGTTGGGAATTTCATAATCCCAACTGACTAATAAATAGTTTGTTTAGTAGAAATCAAAACATGTGTGTAAAAGATATTTTTTCCATATATACTGGGAACATTGGGAATTCATATATTCTTCCCATCACAGAGGGGCCCGGTCTAGGGCCCGGTCGTTTTCGTCGTTTTAAAACCGTGGTGTCTTCGTTCGCAGGAGCTGCTGCAGCGTCGCAGCAAGAGCATCGACTCCGCGGTGGCCATGCAGAAGCAGAACGAAGAGCTGAAGGCCTTGTTGGATCAATACCTGGGATCCAAGGTACCTGGGATCCGAATTCGAAGATGTACCCGGCCTGGTAATGGGAAAAGCATAGGAAAACCATAGGAAAATGGAGGTTTACCCTTTGGTAAACGTTTACAAAAAACTGATGGGAAAATCACCATTTTTAATGGGTAAATTCACTATAAATGTCCATTTTCAATAGCTTTTTGTATGTTTACCAGAGGGTAGACTTGGTCAAGCAGGATTGGTTTGCACGGGAAGTTTTTGGCAGCTTTAAGCCCCAGATTTTTTGGTTTCCTGTAATCGTTCCCTTAAACCAATCCATTGAGTTGGAAAAGATGTACCATAGAAAGAACCATGGAAGATGTACCCTCTGGTAAACATACAAAAAACTGATGGGAAAATCACCATGCTATGAAAATGGGTAAATTCACTATTTCGACTGGTCCATTTTCAATAGCAACCTGTTAGTTTACCAGAGGGTAGACTTGGTCAAGCAGGATTGGTTTGGAAAATGTGCAGGTTTAAGCCCCATATTTTTTGGGAAAATCTATGGTTTCCGGTTACATTTTTCCCTTAAACTCCTTAAACCAATCCATTGAGTTGGGTAGTTGGGTGGTTTCAGAGATGGAAAAGTATGGGAAAGCTTGGAACTATAGTTAATCTACACTATAACTTTGATAAATATAATTAGTTACCCTCTGGTAAACGAACAGTAATGGAAAATCACCATCTTTAAGTTCGGTAAAACCGTAAAACATCTATAAATGGGCCATGTTCCATAGCAAACTGTTACCTGGGATCCAAGGTCACTGGATTCTGGTGGATTTTTAGCCAGGGACCCCCTGGCTGATGGAAAAAAAAATCCCATAAGCCTCTACTACGCCCATTTCAGAAACCCCAGTAGAAGCTTATGGGAATAGGGATACCCTCTGGTAAACTAACAGTGTGCTATTGAAAATGGCCCAGTCGAAATAGTGGAGTTACCCATTTTCATAGCATGGTGATTTTCCATAGTTACGTAAACGTTTACCAGACGGTACCATCATTGGAGGTCCCTATGTATAAATTCCATCACTGGATGGATGACTGGGAATGGTAGACATACCACCTATAAAAATGGTGATTTGGAGGATGGTTTATGATTGTTTTACCCACATTAGACTTTTTAGTTGGGTGTTTTTTTTTCCAGATGTATAAGTCCTATCATAATCTATCCAATATATGGATATAATAATGATACAATAGGTTGTCTTACCAGTGATGAGTTTGTAGGTTCAAATATGTTTAATGTTCAAGATGACTGGCACGATCATGCCAACTCATATTTCAAAAAACTGGGGAAAAGCAGCAGTTGAGATAGGTAAATCAACTATAAATCAACTATAAATCAACTCTGAATCAACTCTTAATGGGCCATTTTCCATCTTTGGACAATGTCCCACGTCCCACTTAGGTCAACGAAGAGCTTCAGGTGCCACCCACCCATGTCATCACCGTGGTCTCTCAGCCCTGAATGCCTTGCCGGGCCGCAACGGAACGTTTCACCCAGAATTCATCCTGAAGCGCATGGAAGCTGTCGCAAAAAGATGTTGAACGTTGAACCCAGATGAGCCTTTAAAATAAAGGAGGTTATACTGCCTAATCTGGGTTATACTCCATTTATTTAAATAACGTATAACCTCTGTTTTTTAAAGGGGAAATATAGGAGGTTATACTACCTAATCGATGATTGGCTCAGATGAACTTGTAGTGGATTGTCATGAATACCCTCTGGTTATTTAACATAGCTATTGGATGCTACTGGAAATGGCCCATTTATAGATGATTTATGTTTATTTACCTACTGAAGATATTGATTTTCAATGGCTACGTTAAATGACTCACTGGTGCTTAGTAGGGAATCGATGGGAATGGGGGTTGCTGGGATGATTATTATTAGTGATTATGGATCATTCCCTCATTCCCTGCTAAGCACCAGTAAGATGATCAAAGGGTAAATTCAGAATTCCTCAAGTGTTCTCAGCCGATTGAGGGAACACCAGCCGGACGGTTTCGCTTGAGGAATCTTCTGCTACAACCAGAAAAAATAAGTGGCGCGTTTGCAGGGTATCTAAGGTTGGCCATGTTAAACTCCATTGAATCCCATTCTGGTTGGTCATTTCAAACATGTTTTTTTTCCATTTCATATATGGGATGTCATCCCAACCCCATTGACGAACTCCATCATGTTTCAAGATGGTTACAACCACCAACCAGCCTTAAATCCCATTGAAGCCAATTAAATCCCATTGAAACCAATTAAATCCCATTGAAGCCAATTAAATTTCATTGAAGCCAATTAAATTCCATTTTCCAAGCTGTATCCCCTTAAATCATACCCCAATCCATTGGAACATCATCGCTGCCCCAGGTTCTGAGCCCCGCAGAGGAGAGGAAGAGCTTAAGAACTTTGGGCTATGCGACTATGCTAAGCTCGATCTTAGTCAGAAAACATACCCATCTATCTATCTATCTATCTATCCATCTATCTATATATATATATATATATGCATATGTGTATATATATATAACCATTTCTAACCATCTCCAATCTATTTTTGTGATGTCTAAGGAATGTTGATTCATTGTGTTTCATTTGTAGCATGAGCATGCATGAGTATTAATTATAATTACCCTTTACATTGAAGATCATGGAGGTTGTTCACAGATCGCATGTGAGGAAAACGTTCCAATGGTTGAAATGTCGTTCAAATATCATGCAGCCCCACCGCTAGCGAGCCACAATTCGCAACTGCCGTGGCGAACAACTCACGTGGACGAAAAAGCGGGCAGCGGGCATGGCTTAGTTTCCCATGAAAGGGGACGGTCATCAAACTATGAAAGGATATCAAAAGGGATTTTTATGATGTTTTACTGGTCGGTGGTTTCAAACATGGCTTTTATTTTCCATTTCATATATATATATATATGGGATGTCATCCCAACCCTATTGACGAAGTCCATCATTTTTCAAGATGGGCACATTGCACACCAACCAGGGATTTTTTATGATGTTTTATGTGTCCAGGAATCCAGTCCATGATATACCCTCTGGTAAACATACAAAAAACTATGGAAAATCACCATGTTCAATGGGTAAATCCACTATTTCTACTGGGCCAATAGCTATGCTATGACATAACCAGAGGGTAATGGTGGGACGACCAGGACCTACCTGGTTTGGGGTTGCGAACTTTGCCATACCCGGCCTGGTAAACTAACAGTTTAATATGGAAAATCATGGAAAATCACCATCCTTGATAGGTCAATCAACTAATATCAACTATAAATATCAAACATCAACTATAAATGGGCCATGTTTAAATAGCTATGTGAAATTACCAGAGGGTATATAATGGTTTTTTTACAAACCAATATGAAGTGATTGTTTACAAACCAATGATGGATTGTTTCTTTTCCATGGCTCACTGAAGCTTGCCCAGAAAATAGATCATATGTGAAGTTTTGCACGTTTGGAATGGACGGATGAACATTCAGAAGCCACAACTGGTTATTTAGCTCTAAAAAGAAGATCATTTGGGTGTCTAAAAACTCAAATGTCCCAAGTTGCCAAAGCTTGCGGAAAGTGTTTGATTTTTTTCGTGGGGGGGGGGGCAGGGCGGTGCAAAAAATACACGCCCTTGTTCATGTGTGTTGTTTTTGTGTGATTAGTGCATTCGATTTTGTATGATTGCATCATGACTGCATCATGACTGCATCCTGACTGCATCCTGACAGCATCACCGCATTGATCTGTGTGGTTCAAACATTATGAGGAAGAAAACGGTGGTCAACGCAACTGACGCAGTTTTGCTCCAAACCACAGACAGCACGTTTACCTTCAGAAACTCAAAGCCGTTTCAGAGGACTTGATTTTTCAGCATTCCCAGACCGAACTCCTCATAAGAAGTCATGGGTTTGTCTGAAATCGATGGGCAAACCACTGGTTAAACCACTGGTCAATCAAAATTATCCATGTCATTTGACGGCCACAGCTACTAACCATTGTTGGACACACCCAACTATCATATTATTATATAAGGGTTTCCATAAATGGGGGTACCCTAAATCATCTATTGATAGATTGGATTTTCCCTCATAAACCATCATTTTTTCCGTCCAGCTATTGGGGGCACGCCCATTTTAGGAAACCTCCATATGGGGATGTGTCAAAACCTATGAAATTACCATATTTGGGGGAATAAACATCCATAAACCAGTTATTTTAAGGTACCATCCGGGTGCCAGGGTTTTGACTCATAGCCATATATGTGTGGTTATCTATCCCATGATATTTCCATGGTGTCGCCATTCTGGACCCGATGAGTTGTTCGGACCATCTGCAGTGTGAAAGCTGGCAGATCCTGAAACTGGCAACTGGTTAGTACCAGTTTCATATCCCCGTAATTGATGGTTCTTTCTAACATACAAAAAAAAGGTGCCCCAATTCGGAATCGCTAAGTTGGTGAACATGACTCCAATTTCACTATGGTTTATGGTAGATATATCTATACTATTCCTATATACCAACAAACATCACTGGGGGGGCACCACGTTGTACCCACATTGCATTTTAATCTGAATTCAGCGGCCGGAAGCATGAGTGATATCGAGTCGAACCCTTAGTGAGTTTCTCCCATTGCGTTCCGCATGTTCATAATTATTTACATGTACATATATATATTGCGACCTAATTGTATAAATATACATAATACAGTGTCACTTATATATATATATATATATATCATAGATGTAATTTTTCCATACGTCTATACATTATGTAATCTATACATGATGTAATCAGCTACAACCCTTTTTTAATTGCCGCCCTGCCGTGATTCCGATGCGACTCACTGAGGTTAGAGTGTCCCTGTGAGTGCGATGCACGGAGCCAGGAGTTTCGCTCAAGCTATGCATTGGGTGCACTGGGCGCCTCGGTTGCCATGGCATCCCTGGGGCCGCGGGCCGCATCATGGGTTTAGGGTCACGGGATGGGACGCCTAAATAGTGTTTACATCGAAAAAACGGATGGGAAAATCACCATGCGATGAAAATTAGAGTAAATCAACTATAATTAAATTTCGACTGGGCCATGGCGAAGCCAGTTCGCAAACTGTTGGTTTACCAGAGGGTAACCAATGGATGCATAGTCTAAATCCTTATTCACCGGCCATTCAATGGATTGGTTGAAGGAAACAAAAATGCAGGAGCCCCAGATTTCAATCAGAAAATCCCATCCGGTTTTCACATGTTTTCACCAGGTTTCGTGGTGCTCGTGGTCTTAGCCCTTTTTTCACTCCAAGCGGTGCCCAATCTCCACTACGGTATTCGGTGCTCCTGGGGGAACTGGTGCTCCTGGGATATATCTGGGTAAATTTCATCACGACCGAACCCTGTTCTCCCGAAACCCTGGAATCATGGTTAATAAGGGGAATCATCCCCTTTTATGGCCCAACTATTCAGGTGAGTGAAATATGATTTCATTTACCCAAAAATCCACGGGTTTTTACCATATCTTTATCCACCATATCCCCTATAAAATTTACCCAAAAAAACATGGGAGGACCACCGACCCAAATGATGACCTTTGATGACCTGGTGAAAAGATGGAGATTTCCCGGGCGAACCATGGGATTTACCCGGCCTGGGATTAGGATCTGAGGGATTTTAACCATGGATTTTTATGGTGGTTTTATGGTGATTTAATGGGATATATATATATATGTGGTTAATATACTGTTAATAATGGTTAATGATGATGGTTATTATATGGTTAATGATGGTTAATAGTAATTGCTGGTTGGTGGTGGTTAGAGATATACCCTCTGGTTATGACTAACAGTTAGCGAACTTGAAAATGGCCCAGTCGAAATAGTTGATTTACCCATCAATAGCATGGTGATTTTCCATAGTTATGTAACAGTTTACCAGGGGGTAATTAGGAAGATGAAGGCATATATTTGGATGAATTTGATGACCTCACGTCCTGAGGTCAACGGAATGATAGCTATATGGGTAATCATCACAATGGCCGAACCCTTCAAGGTTTTGCAGGATGGTGAATTGTTATAATTCAGCCAGCCATGTTATGTTATATTATATTATATTATATTATATAACATAATATAATATAATATAATATAATATAATTATATAATATATATATATATAATGAGCAGTTTCAAAAACCCTATTGACTTTTCCTGTTAACTCTCAAGTCTCTTTCGCGGCTACCCTAAAATGCGGCCTGTGTTTTGACTGGAGGTTGTTGAAGCTGGTCATACTGTGGATGGGCCAGCGAAATCCTGCACCACCAAAAGGATTGTTTTCCACCCTATAAATCATGGGATGTTTACCATCTACCAACTGGTGATTCGGATTTCGCTGGCCCATCCACAGTATGTATACCCTCTGGCAATCAAAAAATTGCACTAGCAAATCCATCAGCGTCCCATTGGGCCAATGGAGAAGCCC